CAGGCCTTGGTAGGAGGCTTTGGATTTGTACAGTTCTTAGCCCAACATCCCATGTGATGGGCAGAGCCAGTGGGCTGACCTGCCTACTTGCTGGTCAAGCAGTTCTGGGTGTGGCAGACTGGGCCTGATGGCAGGCCGTAGCCAGAGGCTGAAAGTCAGCTTGGAGCTTGCTCCTTTCTGTCTGTTCCCATTCTCTTTTAACTACTTCTCCCCTGCTACTAAAAACCTTAAAAGCTGCTGGGCACCGATGGCTTCTGCCTGTAATCCTAGCTACTCAGGAAGCTGAGATCTGAGAATCACTGCTCAAAGCCAGCCTAGGCAGGAAAGTCCATGAGACTCTTATCTCCAATCAACCACCAGAATTCTGGAAGTGGCGCTGTGGCTCAAATGGTAGAGCGCTGGCCTTGAGCTGAAGAGCTCAGGGACAGGACCCAGCCCCAGAGTTCAAGCCCCACAACCAGAAAAACAAAACTCAACAACCTTAAAAGCCAAGGCTAGGAGCTTACTCTGGGAGATAGAAGGCCCCTTTTCCAGGTGCTGAAACTTGTTCCCTACGTCAGGTATGCCCTGACTTGTACAGTGAACATGAAGCAGAGTGCCTCTTTGGAGTCAACATTGACATTCGTATTCTAAGTTGTGGCCTCTGAGAGGCGCTAAGGAGGAAAGTGGGGTTTTCATGGGGGCCTTAGGTGACTTCCTTAAGTTTTTCATAGTTGACTTGCAAGTGGGTGATTTGATGAAAGCCCTTTACCAGGCAGCTAACCATGAACTCAAGGCATTCAGAACCACTGCTGTTGTTCTGGTAATTCTAGGGGGGAGGGGGGTTGTCTGGGAGAACAGGCTCTGTTCCCGGGGTGGGGGTGGGCTGGGGTCAGGGACAGGGAGTGGGCACTTGGTACATTTAGCTTATCAGTCTGAGCCCTGGCCAACCTTAAAATGCATGCTTTCTCATCGGCATTAGGATCCAGTGGAGGATGTGCTCGAATACCACTCCAGCAGAGTCCAATTGGACAAGCCCGGTAAACTTTACTCTTTATAATGGTGCAGATTGCTCAAAAATGACCCCGATCTTTTGTTCAATGGAACCCTTCTCACTTAGGCTGAAAGGAGCATGGGCTTGGGTGAGTCCATTCTGTCCTACTACCTCAAGAAGGAGAAACATACGGGCGTTTTTAGAGCAGGTGATGGACAGCAATGGGACGGAGGAGGGCGGGGGCGGGGAGAGTGGATGGGGAGGAGGAGCTGGAGTGGAAGATGATTGGGAAGTAGAGGCTGAAGGCTTTGGAGGCTGATGGGCCTCAGGAGTCGGGGCAGAAAGAGGCAGGTAGAGGGAAGAGGGGAAAGGAAGAGACTCAACAGCAGGGTTGAAGTTCCGAAGACTGGGTGGAGGCTGGGGCTGTTTGGGCAATGCTTCAGGGTTTGAGGCAGGTGGCTGGCAAGAGAGAATTTGTGAGGCAGGGCAGGATGAACAGAAAGGAGGTTTAGAATGAAGGTGAAAGAGGGCTTGGGTATAGGAGACCTGGAACTCTCGGCCATTTCATTGGAGAAAACTGTTTAAATCAGCAAGAATATGAAAAATCAAAGGTTCTAAATTCTGGCCAATGGCAACCAGTGTCCAAATGATCGTGAGGCCAGATTTTGATGGACAAAATATTAGACCACAGACAAGCCAATAGGGTGTCTCCAGGAACAGACAATTTGGAGTCCATTATGGAAAATTCTGTAGGATTATGGAGTGACCTGTGCCACCCTTCCAGGCATCCCTGAAGTTTTGGCAAGGCAACGGGATAGATTCCAGTCATTAGGAAAACATACCCCCAAGGTCCTAATTAAAGGGGATCAGGGGGTCAGTCAAGCCTGAGAGACTCCTGAAATCGCTGGGGGCTCCATAGACAGGAAAGGGAGAGACTCCTGCATTCCCCCGTCCATGCTGGGGCACCTCTGCTATGGACCATGGCTGTTTACCTTTTCCTGAAGGCTTCTAGATGATGGCCTCCTGACCAGGAGCCCAGGGGCAGAGGATGGGTAGAGAGATTAGGAGAGGGGACAGCTACGGGAGCAGATAATAGCTCAAGCCAGCCGGGGTACCACAAGGCAGGCAGCGCTTATGTAGACAAAGGCCCTGAGAACTCAGGGAATTCCCGGTTAGTGTGGTCCAATATAGGAAGCACAGAGGGCTCTGTGCTCCCAGTGGAGAAAGGCCTCAGAAAAAAGGGAGTGGGGTAAGCAAAGGCTTGTAGAGAAGAGACAATGTGGGGAGGTGGTGGACCCTCAGTGTAGGGGATCCAGTTATTCCTGGAACTTTTCCTCTCCTGGGTTTCAGCAGCAAATGTTAGGAAAATGGAGAAAGGAAAAGGCCGGACTGGATTCTCAACAGATAAGGACTGTTTATGGAGAAACAGCCAGGGGCAGCAACCTTCCCACGGATCAGAAGTTGTGGAAGGAGGTGGGGTTGAAGTTAACTTTTTATGGGGTCTGAGCAAGGAGACAGAAGTTAAAGAAAAGGTCATAGAAGACAGAAATTAGAGAAAAAGGGGGCTAGGAATGTGGCTTAGTGGTAGAGTGCTTGCCTAGCATGCACAAAGCCCTGGGTTCGATTCCTTAGTACCACATATACAGAAAAAGCCAGAAGTGGCCCTATGGCTCAAGTGGTAGAGTGCTAGCCTTGAGCAAAAGAAGCTCAGGAACAGTGGCCAGTGTCCAGACTGGGAGCTCAAGCCCCAGAACTGGCAAAAAAAAAAAAAAGGCATTAGGTCTGGGGAGGTGGGGCTTTTGGCTGGGCCCAGAATGGAGTATTTACAGCCAGGCTTAGGTCAAATTGTTCTGCTGGTGTCAAGCATGTTTGTGTATATCTGGTATTTTGCCTGATGTCTGGATGCACCTAGGAAAATAGGGGGGGGGCCAATCCTTCATCTTCTGTCTTTGGATACATAAAAAAAATTGGGCAAAGAGGGGAGCGATAAATCCTTCAGTGTTGAAAATTGACTGTACAACTTATGGGTTCTAGTGGGAGGGAAAAATTGGGAGAAAAAAGAGGAAGGTGTGCCATTGTCCAAAAATAAATGTACTTTTTACTTGATTTATGTAACTGTAAACCCTCTGTACATCACCTTTATAAAAGCCATAAAAATACATTTGTGTTTGAAGTAACTTTGACTTATTTAAGGTCATAAGGCTGGAGCTTACGGCTTCTCTCCAGTGAGGGAGGAGAGATCTGCTGTGGCCTTGGGTACTGCCCAAGAGCTTTTCTGCTTAAGGCCAGCTCTCAATATCTTTAATCCATAGCCCGACTTCTGGTTTGGGGGCAGAAATGCAGATAATTGGAGATAAGAGTCTTGGAGACATTCCTGCCCAGACTGGCTTTGAACCGGATTCTCAGAACTGAGCCTCCCGAGTAGGATTATACTAGGGCGCAGCTAGAAATTTCTTCCTAAATAAAATTAGATTGCTTTTTAATTTGGGGGGTGGATCTGGGCTTGAAGTCAGTGCCTAGGTACTGACCCCAAGCTTTTTTGCTCAAGGCCAGGGCTCTGCTATTTTCAACCACTGCACTTCTGGTTTGAGTAGATAGGCAGATAATTGTAGATAAACATATGCCAGACTTTCCTACCCTGGCTGCCCTTGAATCATAATCCTCAGATCTCAGCCTCCGGAGTAGCTAGGAATAGAGATGTGAGCCACCTGTACCCATTAGCTCAGCATGCTCTTGAAGTTTTGTTTTGTTTTATTTTTCCCTGTGGAAACCTAGCAATACTGAATTGCAACCCAACCAAACTCAAGTCAGATTTTTCTTATCAGTGGAAGACTTTATACTCCCAATCTTGATTGCCTTTCTTGCTCAGTGCTGGTACTCTATTCTTTAAAACATACCAGGAATCACCCAGCTAGTATTAAAGGTATGGCCTACAGGCTGATATTCTCTCTCTCAGTTCTTTCCGTTCTTTTCTTTCCCTTTATCTTCCCTTCCTTCCCTCCTTTTCCTTCCCTCCCTCCCTCCCTCCTTTCCTTCCTTCCCCTCTACTAGACCTGGAACTTGAACTCAAGAGATGTTTTCTCCAAGGTTAACACTCTGTCACTTGAGCCACATAGACACTTCCAGACTTTTTGGGTACTTAATTGGACATAAGAGTCTCACACACCAGGCACTACTTGCTCACTCCTATAAGCCTAGCTACTCAGAAGGCTGGGATCTGAGGATCCTGCCAGCCAGGGCAGGAAAGTCTGTGAGACTCTTATCTCCAGTTAAGCACCAGAAAACCAGAAGTGGTGCTGTGACTCAGGTGGTAAAGCACTAGCATTGAGCTGAAGAGCTGAGGGACAGCGCCAGGCCCAGAGTTCAAGCCCCATGACTGACCAAAAAAAAAAAAGCCACAGATTTTTCTGCTTGAGGTTGAGTTACAATTTCAGTCCTCAGATCTGAGCCTCCTGAGTAGCTAGGATTATACGCATGAACCAACGGCACCCTGCTTACAATAACTTATTTATTGTCATACAGTAAAATGAACAGAGTAAGTGACTTCATCAGAATGCGTTCATTTCCATACAACCATTCAGGAACCAGGAATTCCCTCTTGTTCCTCGCAGGTTGAATGCACGCCACTCAGATTTCTTTGATGAGAAGACAGGACACGGGAGCCCATGGTGAGTAGAACACCCCACATCACCGTCCTGACACTGAAAGTGGAAAGCAAAGGAACTTGTTCTCTCCTATATTTTCCCCTGGGGAGTGGCAGAGGGTTTGTGTTCCCACATGAGTGTACCAGTGTCCTAAAGGAGACATTCAGGTTCATTTCTAAGGGACCCAAGGAAACAGCATAAACTAGTGAACTTGACAAACCCCACAGTAGTTAGACGTCCTTGTAAAGGGATATTCCTCTGTGACTACCCAGTTGCCACTGGGTGCCAGGCTATTAAACTGGTTCTTCTTACACCTCATACAGGAATAAGTGCAGATCTGGACCTTATGGGCTGGCTGTAGGTCCCTCAGGGTCTGCACCAACCTCATGCAGACCTGGGCAAATCTCACCTTGTTGACTTCACATCCACACAACAAACACTCGTGGTCATAGCTCTGCACAGGGGCCGGATACAGCCCTCGCTGTAACTGCCTCAGCCTGGCTGTGTGGCTCAGCAGGTTCTGCAGGGCAGCCAAGGACATGCGGTTCCCATAGATGCTGAAGAAGCTCAGCTGGCAGCACTGGCTCAGGGTGGGCAGGATGGCAGAGAGCTGGGCCTCAGTGATCCCACAGTGCTCCAAGGCCAGGGCCTCCAGGGTGCCAGACACTCTCTCCAGCAGAGCTCGGAGGGGCCCAGGACCCAAGTCACCCAAATTCACAGTCCTGAGACACAGGTGCTTGAGCTGACTGGTGCAGGGACACAGGGACAGACACCTCAGGTCTGCTTCATTCAGTGGACTTGAAATCAAAGACAGACTAGTCAGAGGCTTGAGGGTCCTGAGGAGAGAGCAGAGAGACTGGGGTGAATGGTGGTGGTGAACAGAGCAGACTCGGGTAGGAGATGGTCAGCAAAGGTTGTCCTGCTGCACCGAGGGAGACCAACCACATGATGCTGCTGGCTGAGACCCCTGTCACTCCACCATCCCAGCCTGATGCCTGTCAGTGCCACCTGAGCCTGACCCAGGCTGCACCCCCTCCAGCCCCCTCTCCAGCCCCCTCTCCTCACTGTCTGGACACACCACTGGGCTTCCTGCCCGCAGGGCCCAACCACCCATGCATCTGAGCATCACAGCACAGCATCCTTTCCTCTTCCCCTTGCTTCCAGTTTCTATCCTGTGAGCTCAGACTTGCTTCCTATAGAGGAACTCACAGCCACTCACTTCTACATAGAACTCCACAGCGGGCTTCCTGCCCTGAGCACACTCCCAGCATGCACCCTGCTTTGCAATGTGACTGAGAAGCCAGGTGAGAACTAAGAAGTAGAGCGGATGAGGCTCCTCTTCCCATGTCTCCCCACTCATTTCACCAGCAAGGTTGCCACACACAGTTGAGGCCCTTTCATACCCACCCAACCCAAGGGCAGCTCTGCACCTGAAGACCTTGTGCAGGTTTCCATAAAGGAAGTAGACTTGATACATATAAATTTGCTGGAGATTTCTCTGCTGCAGCAGTTGGATGAAGAAGGAAATTTTGAATCTGGAAGCAGAATATTTCATCCCAATCTGGGAGAAGGAAAGGATGTGAAGGTTCTTCTTAGATAAGGAACCATATTTTCCATTGCTGCTTCATCCCACAAATTATCCAAAACCAACTCCTGAATGGAGTCCAGATGAAGCACTGCAGAGTGCTTCAAGGTGGAGGCAAACAGAACCTGCAGCTTCTTAGAGCACAGCTGAACCTGCTCTCTTCTCGTCTCCACCCACTGGAGCAAGTTGGCCAGCACACAATCCCAGGGGCCATCACTGATGGTGACATCCATGAATATCCTGAAGGGCGGCTCCTCCCTCAGGTCTGCACAGTGATTGGCTGCTGGCTTGTCAGTCAGGGCCGCTGCTGAGCAGGCTTGAGACATTGCTATGTACCCCCAGGTCCAGAGGTTCAGGGACATATTCCGTAGATCTATCATTTGCACTTTGCATCTACAGCAGGAGACACAGGACAGTTTCAGAACAGGAATGAGACAACCTCCCTCTCTGCCCTATTTGATCTATCCAAGCTAGCCCACCATATTTCCTCTTACTTTTTTCAGCTTTTGTTCTTTCTTTTCTTCTTTCTTTCTTTTGTCATTTTCTTTTTGATGGCTTTTTTTTTTTTTTTGTCCATAATTGGGCTTGAACTCTGGGCCTGGGCGCTGTCCCTCAGCTCTTCAGCTCAAGGCTGGCACTTTACACTTGAGCCACAGGACCACTTCTGGTCTTCTGGTGGTTTATTGGCAATCAGAGTCTCACAGCCTTTCCTGCCCAGGCTGGCTTTGAACCAGGCCGGCAATCCTCAGATCTCAGCCTCCTGAGTAGCTATGATTATAGGCGTGAGCCACCGGCACCTGGCTTTTGTCTTTTTCTTTTTGTGCACTAGTAATAGGGCCTGAAGTCAAGGCCTGGATGCTGCCCCTTCAGTTTCCCACTCAAGGCTAGTTGGCCTAGCACTTGAAACACACCTCCACTTCTGGATTTCTTTTTTAGTTAATTGGAGATATGAACCTCAGTCACTCTCTTGCCCAAGTTGGCTTTGAAGAGTCTCAGTCCTCTAAGTAGCTAGGATTATTGGAGTACACCATTGACACCGTGAAACTTTTCCCAACCTTTCCCCACCCTATCACCACGGCCTGTGGTAGTGGGGATCCGGCAGCCATGCCTGCAGCCATCCCCAGCAACCCTCCACACCCAAGGGACCCTCTTTCACAAACAACTCAGCAGAGAGCCCTGGGGTCCTCTGGTCCCAGGTCTCTCATGAGTCCACCCCACTCTTGCTGACTCTGGTGTGCCTCATCTCTGCACTCTGGGGTCCTCCCTGGCCCCCAACCTGGGTCCCCCTTACCTGGGCCCCGCTCCCTGCTCCAGCAGCACATCAAGGCCCTCCAGGGTGACTTGTAAGATCTCCAGGTCAGCTGAGCCCACCAGGGCCCCCAGGGGGAGGCAGGCAAAGGGCCAGGCCTGCACCATGGCCTTCAGCACCTCCATACGTCTCTTGGCAACCACCTCTCTGAACAGCGTGGAGAAGAGATCCAAGGGAAGGACGTCCAGAGCAGAGATGGCCAAGGCCTGGTCCTCTAGCAGGCTCTGCATGGCCAGCTGCCGCAGTGTGGGCAGGGACATGGTGCTCAGTGTGCTGGGGCTGCAGGGAGAGGGCCTGGGAGCACACAGGAAGAGGCAGCTTTAGCGGCTGAAGCTGAGAAGTCCCTTCTCAGAGAGAACTCATCTCAAAGGCCACATCCCGACTCCAGCCATGGGGAGATGTCCGTTCACGCCCTTTCCACATAGCCCCGATGCCCCCCAAGCACAGCGCTGGGACACAGGGCAGCAGGATGCTCCCCACATAGACAGCCCCAAGCTCATCATGGTCCCAGCCAGTTCCAGCCACTACTCTGAGTAGATGGATAATAAGGAGCCTGAACGTCATCCCAAGCTTTGTGTGAGTGTGTGTTTGTTTGTGTGTGTGTGTTCTCGGCCTTTCACACAAGGCCTGGACACTTCCCTTGAGCATTATTCTCAAGGCTTACCAGTGCCCTACCACTTCAGACACAGCTCTGCTTAATATCCATTTATTTTGAGGGGGGTGTTTTTATGTATTTTTTATTTTTTTTATTTCTGTCAGTCACAGGGCTTGAACTCTGGGACTGGGTGCTGTCCCTCAGCTCTTCTGCTGAAGGCTAGCACTCTACCACTTGAGCCCCAGTGCCACTTCCAGTTTTCTGTTGTTTAATTGAAGAGACGAGTCTCCCAGACTTTCCTGTCTGGGCTGTCTTTGAACCACAATCCTCAGATCTCAGCCTCCAAACTAGTATGACAGGAAGAACCATTTACTTTTGAGATAGGATATTTAAAACACTTCTGCCCAGACTAGCCTCTAATTGTGATTCTTCCAGTCTCAGCTTCTCAAGTAGCTAGGATTACCAATATGAGCCACTGGTACCTAGCTTTGAACTAAATATGTAACGTTTCAAAACTTTGTCTTGAACTGGTTAGTGGTTCACACCTGTTCCCAGTTACTCTGGAGTAGAGATTGAAGTCCTATCCAATCAGTTCCCCACCAACCAGCATGGGTAGTACTTCTTTGCCTAATCCCACATTAGCAGAGTTGGGTGATTGAATCTGGTATCCACACAAAATATTGAGACCCTACTTACAGCCAGAAGAGAAGCTGTGGCTTAAAGAGTAGAATGCTAGACTTGAATGAAAAATTAAGAGCCAGGGATTGGTGGATCCTGGTGGCCTGTAATCCTAGCTACTCAGGAGGCTGAGATCTCAGGATCTCAACTCCATGCCAGCACAGGTAGAAAGTCCGTAAGAATCTTACTTCCAGTTAGCCAACAGAAAACCCTAAGTGGAGCTGTGGCTCAAGTGGTAGAGTACTAGCCTTGCACAAAAGGTCAGGGACCGCTTATAAATTCTGAGTTTAAGCCTCACAACTGAAATAAAAGAAAAAGAAAGCCTGGTGCCTATGGCTCACACCTATAATCTTAACTACTCAGGAGGCTGAGATCTGAGTATCACAGTTCAAAGCCAGACCAGGCAGGAAAGTCCATGAGACTCTTATTTCCAATAAGCCACTCAAAAAACCAGAAGTGGCGTGGTGGCTCAAGTGGTAGAGCGCTAGCCTTGAGCTGAAGAGCTGAGGAGCTGAGGGACAGTGCCCAGGCCCAAGATCAAGCCCCATGACTGACAAAAGAGAGGTGGGGGGGGGCAGAGACAGAGGGAAAATTAGGAAACAGTGCCCTATCTGGAGTTCAAGCCTCAGTACAGGTACAAAAATAATGAAATAAAAGAATTACTTAAAAAAAATTTCAAGCCAGGTCCTGGTGGCTCACACTTGTGATCCTATCTACTCCAGAGTCTAATATCTGAGGATTAGAGTTCAAAGCCAGCTTGGGCAGAAAAGTCAGAGATTCTTATCAGCAATAAACCACCAAGAAGCTGGACCTGGAGCTGTGGATCAAGTGTGAGAACACCTATGCTGAGCACGAAAAACTTGGGAACTGCATCAGAGCTGTAAGTTCCAGACCCAGAACTGGCATGTGCGCACGCATATGCGCGCATGCACACACGCACAAATAGAAGGAAAAGAAAAAAAGAAGGGCTGGGAATGTGGCTTGGTGGTAGAGTGCTCACCTAGCATTCATGAAGCCCTGGGTTCAGTTCCTCAGTACCACATACAGAGAAAAACCCAAAAGTGACACCATGACTCAAGTGGTAGAGCACCAGCCTTAAGCAAAAGAACCTTAGGGACAGTGCCTGGGCTCCTGAGTTCAAGCTCCCAAACTGGCAAAAAAAAAAAGAAATAACCATAAAATGCTAACAACAAATATCCACTTCAATTCAAATAAATGACTGTGTTTGCAAAACAACATTCTTTAATAAATTTAAAATGACAGTAATCAATGCACAACAAACCGAGTTATTTCGGCTGAAGGTAAAGAGCTAATGTCTGAAATTTGTTTATCAATAGAGGACAAATTCCTGCTAGGTGCCAGTGGCTCCTCTATAATTCTAGCTGAGATAGAGCTGAGGATCATGGTACAAAGTCAACCCAGATAGTAAAGTCTGTGAGACTCATCTCCAATCACTAAAAAATCCAGAAGTGGAGCTGTGGCTTAACAGTAGAGCACCAGTATTGAACAAAACAAAGCTCAGAGACAACACACAGGCTGAGTTCAAGCCCAAGGCCTGGCACAAATACAGAAGCCCAAATCACAATTCTGTCACCTCTGGGACTGGCTGAGGGGAATGCTGGTTGGACATCATGGAGGTGGGGACTTCCCAGATGTGGATCAGGTCCACAGGGCTCTCTGAAGGGAGCAGGCACAGGCAGTGACTCCACTTACCAGGGTTCTCATCTCCCCTGGCTCCTCTGAAAGCTTTATTCCCCCTGTCTACTGGTCCTACCCTTGGCCAATTCCCAGTGTCCAATCAGAAAGCAGCATCTGCTCAGTCCTGAAGCTCCACCCACTTGATCCTGATTGGATTTCTGCCTTGTCCAGAGGGTCCTGGAGGAAAGGGGGAGGGGAGGGAGAATGAAAGTTTAACACCCAGTCCTGACTTGTGTGCACTGCAATGCTTGTGCTTCCCTCCCTCCTCTGTGTCCTTCAAGTCCAAGTGTGTGAGACAGACATGCTTGCTCTGCTCTCCACCACAGGCGGTAGATGGTTTGCCTCTAGCTAGGAGGCCCATAGTCACTGACAAAGATAATCTGGCTCTGTATGTGTGTGTGTGTGTGTGTGTGTGTGTGTGTGTGTTTGTGTCTGTGTCTGTGTCTGTGTGTGTGTTTAGGGCAGTACTGGGGCTTGAATTCTTTCTTCACTCTTTCAGATCAAGGCTAGTACTAGGCTCTACCCAGACTGGAGCCACTGCCCCACTTCCAGCTGTTTCTGTGATTTAATTGGACATAAAAGTCTCAAGTACTTTTCTCAGCTGGCTTCTTGGGCACGGGGGTGGGGGGGCATTTTTTAACATCTAAAAAAAGAACTTGGAGCTGGGCACTGGTGGCTCACGCCTGTTGTCCTAGCAGCTCAGGAGGCTGGTATCTGAGGATCATGGTTCAAAGCCCTCCAGGCAGGAAAGTCTGTGAGACTGTAATCTCCAATTAACCACTAAAAAGTCTGAAGTGGAGCTATGTGGCTCAAGTGGTAGAGTACTAGTCTTGAGAAAACAACAATAAAAACAAAGGGACAGTGCCCAAGTCTTGAGTTTAAGCCCCAGGATAGGCACCAAACCAAAGAAACACAAGAAAGAAAAACAGCAGTCTGTAAATTACCACACGTAACAGTGATGCCCAGAAATTCCATGCAGGGTAAAGAGCATCCAGCAGAGGGCACACAAAGCCTATCTCTTGGAGTTTTATGATGGCAGAGGGTATAGTACTTTGAGAATGGGACTCAAGGACCTATTTAGTGTGTGTCCTGGAGCTTGAACTCAGGGCCTGAGCCAACCTGGGCAGGAAACTCCCTGCCATTCTTATCTCCAATTAACCACCAGAAAACCAGAAGTGGTACTGTGGCTCAAGTGGTAGAGTGCTTGGCTTGAACTGAAGAGCTGAGGGACAGCCCCCAGGCCCAGGGTTCAAGTCCCACAACTGACAATAAATAAATAAATAAATAAATAAATAAATAAATAAACAAAGGTTATGGAGAAACTGTGGAAACCCTAGAGCAGCATCCCAGAGAACTGGAAAGGGAGAGGTGAAGACTCTGAGGATCGGTTCTCACACATGCTGTGTACCCAGGAGAAATGAGTTTGAGGGGGACATTAAGGGAAGAAATATCAGAACAAGGACTCCTGTATTTATGTTATTTGTATGAGGGACGTTTATAAACTTTCCCTAAGCCAGACACTGGTGGCTCATGCCTGTCATCCTAGCTACTCAGGAGGCTGAGATCTGAGGATCACGGTTCAAAGCCAGCCCAGGCAGAAGTCCATGAAACTCTTATCTCCTATAAACCATCAGAAAACCAGAAGTGGAGCTGTGGTTCAAGTGGTAGAGCACTAGCCTTGAG